TTGTATTTTTAGTAGAGACGGGGTTTCACCATGTTGACCAGGATGGTCTCGATCTCTTGACCTCGTGATCCACCCGCCTCGGCCTCCCAAAGTGCTGGGATTACAGGCTTGAGCCACCATGCCCAGCTGTAAATCTTAAAATACTATCTTTGGATAGTGGCCACCTAATCAGAGAATTTTAAAAATTGCATCTAATAACATGATTTGGGATAGAACTTAAGCATTGTGCATTTGGTATTTTGCAAATTTGTATTTTTAACCTTAATAGGCATTGCTAAACTCAAATATGTACTCCAAAGTTCAGTCAGTTGTCTCTGAAGTTAAAATTATGCAATTATGCTTGCAGTACCTACTACCTACAGAAAAGGGAGCGTTTCTGATGTGAAGTATACACTATTTTTCTTTCACATAAATAGAAGAATTTTAAACTTTGGGTAAAGGGAAACTGTGCAAGTTAAAATGTTATTCTATAGTGCTACTCTAACTTAATCATGAAGAGTTGTAAGAAACCAAGGCCACATTTGCCATGCTGTTATATAAAGCAGATCTGTAACTCAGACAAGTCTTTTCCCTTTCTCTGTCGAAAGAAAAAGAAAAAAAATATTTATATAGTAAGTATTTAGCCTTTCGTAAAGTAGTCTGGAAAGTTTTCAAAACAGTATAACAGCTCTCATGGTTCAGATTATACAATGAAGCATGCTTACCCAGGAGTACCACTGGGCCTTCCCTCAGAATACTACCTAGGGTAAGCCTCCTACCCAAACAATTCCTCATGTTAAAGCTGCCCTCACATGCTATCCACTGACTCATATTATGACATGTCAAATTTCAACTGCTATTTACTAGCAAAAACTAAAGTACCTTTTCAATGATAGTTACAGAAGATGAGTTCATGAGAGACTTTTATTTATTTATTTATAGAGTGTATTTAGGATTTAGGGGAAGCAGTGTGTCAGTAACAAGGTATCAAGATTTATTGGAAATGCCTTAAGGAAGAGTTGGTTCATATACTTTAATGAACACATAAGAATGATCTGTCATTAGCCTACCAAGCATACAATGTTTGTTTTCATGCAGTCTAAATAAAACCTGTCCTCACCACTCTCTACAGTCTAGGCTATTACTACTTTTCACCCTTAATGAAGAAAGAATTAACTTTAAAAAAAATTAACTCTGCTTCTGCACCATCCAAATTATTGGAGTTTGAATTGTAGTACAGTACTGTTACTTGAATTTAAATAAGTTAATTTGTTCATAAATAATTAAATAGTCGATTTGTAACTGGGCAATAGGTAAAATGAAACATTAAATATTTAAATTGTCAATTTCTAGGGATTGGCAGAATCCTTAGTCAAACTTGTGTTATTATTAACAAATATGTATTTCAGGATGGTGACCATCAAAACTGAAGAATGAAATTTGATAGTAGGCAGTTCTGATTTTGCATCACAGGTGGAAATATTTCTTCTGCCCTTGAGCACAAAGTTCCTACTCTGTTTAATGAAGAACATTATCTGCTGATGGAGCACAATGTCCTGTGTTTGTGTGTAAATAAATTAAAATGATTACACACTCAAATAAGGACTAATTAAATAGCTGTTCTAATTTAAAAGCACAAATACTTTCTTGAGCACATTAGGTTCTAAAAACCGGATATTACATTTTTTGTAAGCTTAACTAATTAGGCTTACCTTGCGTATATGAATTTGGTTTATTTCTGCAACTAGCACTAAATCTTCTGATTGCTTGCAGTGTGGTTAATTACGCATTAAGGTGTTTTCAATAGCTTATTGGCACTTGTGGCACACACACAAATGAATAAAGGAAAAAATGGGAAAACAAAAGAAGTACTCAGAAACATTTAAGATGCTTGTAAATTATACTTTTAACCTAGTTGGATGTCTTATTTTCCTACAAACAGAAAAAATCTAGTTATTTTATATTTTCCTAGTTCAAAGGAATGTCTATAAAATTCAATGACACATTTGCTTTCAGTTATCAGTATCATGGTCTGATAATATTGGAGGACTTGGTAGAGTCTTTAGGCAATCAATGGCACTAAAAGCCCTTTTGTTTTCTGTTTTAATTTTTAATTTTCTAAATGTAAACGTCTTTATTTCCTTTTCTGGGTACACTATCATCGTGATAAAATACTTCCATGCAGCAGTAAAAAGCAGACTATTCATAAGCTGTTTCAAAATGGATGACCCTTAAAAATATTATGCCAAGTTAAAAAAAAAAGCCAAATACAAAAGGCTACATATCATATGATTCAATTTATATAAATATCTAGGAAAGGCCAATCTATAAAGACAGCAGATAAGTAGTTGGCAGGAGGTTGTAGTGGGGATTGATGGCAAATGAGCAGGAGGGAAGTTTTTCAGTGGTGACGGCTGCACAACTGTATGTTTACTAACTAAATTTATGTGTATACTAAAATAGGTGGATTTTGTGATATGTAAATTACGTTAATGAACTTTAGAAAACATGGAAAAGGGAATGGGAGGCAGAGCAACCACCAGCACATACATGTTTCAAGAGTTCAAGAGAAGGGTTTTAGGGGAGATTTTAATAGAGACAAAAAAATATATAGTACCTTTTCCCAGAAAAATACTAACATCAAGTGAAATTGTCCCTCTATCCCAAAATTTCATTCCCTACCTAACTCCCTTTAAATAGATTAGCATGCATTTTATCAAACTATACATATAGGTACCCATTCTTCCTAGTGGCTTATGTACACATGAATAAATACATGCACATTTTATTTCTATTGAAATAAAATTCAAGTAACAAAATTTACCATTTTAACCATTCTAAAGTGTACAATTCAGTGTTTTCTAGTATATTCACAGTGTATTCCAGTATATTGTACAATCATCACCCACCACTATTTTCAGAATATTTCTATCATGTCTCCCCCTACCAAAGAAAAAAACCTCTCTATACCTCTCATTTTTCCCCTCCCCTCATACCCTGGCGAGTACAACTCTTTTTTTCTGTCTCTGGATCTGCTTATTATGGACATCTCATAGAAACACTATGTGGCCTTTTGTTTCTGGCATCTTTGAATTTACGTAATGTTTTCAAAGTCTCTTGTTTTTAAACTCAGCAGCCTGTTATGGACATTGTTATATATGCTGAACATTGAGATTTACTTTATTCTTTTTAATGGCTGAATATCATTTTATTAAACGAGCAGTGTTTAATTTAGTCCACTGTGGTTGGACAATTGATGTCTTTGTCCTTTAAGTGGTGCAGCTTTGCTGTTGGCATTTTTATAGCTAGAGTGTCGCATTTGCTGTTCATTGTGCTCAG